GAGTCCGCTAGAGATGCATATGCCTGTGCAACAAAAATGCACGGCAAGTGTAGCATGAGTACGAAAACAACAAGTACTCAGTAAGTATCCCGCCTAATCTCGAAGAAGTAGAGACGAGAGGTCGACTTCGACACATACTAATGGTCCAATAATGATAAATCAATAATGTAACAAATTGAGGCATTATATAAGCATGATTGTAATTCAATAAAGTGAAGCAAGTAAGCAATTCTTTCTTTTATAGGAAATTCCCAAATCCCTTTTCATCATTTATACATTTATTCTCAAACCGGGAAGAAACAATTTCACTTCAATAAATTCTAAGGCAAGCAATACAAGCATGCGCAAATAATGCCGGGGACGTACGGCCCAATCCAACAATATTTAAACTATGCACTGCCAGAGGGTCGAATGGCGCGAACCATAGATGCATCTATTAACCCGCTCGCGAATCATACATGTGACGCGGTCAAATATAAATAAACAATAACCCTGCTCGCGAATCATACATGCGACGCAGGTACACATAGAATCACATATTCAAACAGTCAATCAAGACATTCGTCAAGGAAATAATTATTCAAGGAGGTGTAAATTCCCCTTTTTACATGTCAAGAAAATGAAGTTTAACTCTTTTAGAAAATCTTTTTCCACTTCGATATGACTTAAGCATTTTTAAAGTTGTCAACAAGGTTGCATTTATTACAACTAAGCATGCTTTTGGGCCCTAAACTACCCGGACATAAGCATAATAGTAGCTACGCACGGACTCTCGTCACCTCGTGCGTACGTAGCCCCCACAAATAGGAGCACATAACCAATTAACTCACCTATGGGGATAATTCCCTCTTACAAGGTTAGAAAGGAGACTCACCTCGCTCCGAAGTTCCATAACCGGCATTCCACGCCCTTCCGAAGACTCAAATCGATGCACAATGCTCCAAAACTAGCCAATAATTATGCCAATCCATTAATATATGCTCAATTACTCCTAATGATCCAATTTATAACAATTTCTAACCCCGATCGAAAAGTTGACAAAAACGCCCTCAGGCCCACATGCCCGAATTTCGAAATTTTTCGAAGATAAAGTTTGCCCATAACCTCACGAACTCAAATATATAATTTACTCTCAATTTCATGCCCAAAATCGTGGTCAAAATCCAAGAATACTAAATTTCTAGGTTTTCCCTCAAACCCAAGTTTTCCACTAATTTCCATGTTCAAATCCGTATCTAAATCATGTATTTAACTTGTAATGAGCGTGAACAACTTACCTTGAGATGCTTGAAGAACATTTCCCCTTGAAGCTCTCCAGAATCGCCCACACCAAATGAAAATGGGAGAAAAATAACCATCTCCCGATTTTAAAAGAACACACTGCCTCCAGCCTTTCCGCACCCGCGGTCAATTGACCGCTTCTGTGGTTCCGCAGGTGCGGCCCCACTACCGCATCTGCGGTCCTTCCCAGGCCCCCTATTTCCGCTTCTGCGCTCCTTCTTCCGCAGGTGCGGTCCCGCTTCTGCGGCGACTTGACCGCATATACGGTCCCAGCCTTCTCCCTTCTCAACTGCATCTGCGCTCCTTTGGCCGCTTCTGCGGCTCCGCACGTGCGGCCAAAACCTCGCAGGTGCAGTTACACCAGATACCAGCTGCTGAAGCCCTTCTTCAAACTCCAAATTTGATCCGTTAACCATCCGGAATCCACCCGAGTCCCCCCGGACCCCAACCAATCATGCCAACCAGTCCCAAAACATAATATGGACCTGCTCGAGGCCTCAAATCACATCAAACAACGCCGAAATCACGAATCACACCTCAATTCGAACTTTATGAACTTTAGAACTTCAAACTTCTACATTCGACGCCGAAACCTATCAAATCACGTCCGATTGACCTCAAATTTTGCATACAAGGCATATTCGACATTACGGACCTACTCCAAGTTCCGAAATCGGAATCCGACCCCGATATCAGAAAGTCCACTTCCGGTCAAACTTCTCGAAAACCTTCAAATTTCTATCTTTAGCCAAATGACTCCAAAATGGCCTACAGACCTCCGAATTCACTTCCGATCACGCTCCCAATACCAGTATCACCATACGGAGCTATTCCAGACTCGGAATCCCAAACAGACTTTGATAACACTGAAATGCACTTCAACCCAAATATATGACATTCTTCCAAAATGCTAACTTCCACAATAGGCGCCAAAATGCTCCCGGGTCACCCAAAACCCGATCCAGGAATATGCCCAAGTCCAAAATCATCATACGAACCTGCTGGAACCTTCAAATCCCGATTCCGAGGTCGTTTACTCTAAAATTCAATCTTAGTCAATTCTTTCAACTTAAGCTTCTGAAATGAGAATTCTCTTTCCAAATCAACTCCGAACTTCCCGGAATATAATTCCGACCATGCATACAAGTCATAATACCTGAAATGAAGCTGCTCATGGCCTCAAACTGCTGAACGACGCGCTAGAGCTCAAAACGACCGGTCGGGTCGTTACAAGTAAATATTATAATTTTAGTATATTTATATTCATGTTAACTAAAATATTTCATATATGTTTTTACTTTATATTATATATTTTATTTAAATAAAATAAATTAATTAAAATTCTCTTATAATAAATATTTTAATTTATTTCCTCTTCTAAATAATACTAGTTTTATACTTAACCTTAACACCTTTTTCCTAATTTTATAACTAAAGGTACTTTTTGAACAGATTAACAAAACTCAATTTATTTATCAAATATTACAGAAAGTACTTCTTAAATAAATTGGTCAAACACAAGCCGCTACTCTCTAGAAGTTTTTTTTTCTAAATACGCACTTGTTCGAAAAGTACTTTTGAATATAAGCATCTTGCAAAATAAGTAATTTTTGACAGCTTAGCCAACGGGCTCTTAAATAGCATACATGTTAACATACAAAAAATTATTATTGGTAATTGATAAAATTTAGTAGGTAATTTGAGATGATTTCCTAGCTTTTTTTTTAATTAAAAACTTTGAAAGATTAAAGAAAATTATTCGTTTTTTAACCATAAGTATAAACAAAATCTTCAAACAAACAAGTGTATTCTTCTTTCTTAAATTTCAAAAAACTAAAAATCCTACGTAAGAACATTTTATTTATAATTTTAGTTTGTTATTTAGTTATTCTATTTGAATATGCTTAGTTACCCATATACATCATGTTTTTCAAAATTAAATACTTAACACATTTGTGAAATGGAAATATTATTCAGGGGGATTAAAGGTATGATTTGAAATATAAATGATGAATCTGCAATTAAATCATATTAATACCTAATTCTATAAAAGTAACCTATTGTTTGGATGGTTGTTTCCGGTTGTATTGTATTGTATTGTTACCCCAGATACATTATTTATTTTTATTGTTAATATAAAACTGATTGTATTGTATTGTTAAATCCATTGTTCCGGAACAATAAGAAAACTCCATTTTATGAAACAACCAAATCGGTGTGGTGGGATTGTTCCGTATTATTCTTTCCAATTACGCCCATACTTATTATTCTATATTTTAATTTTACCCTTTACACTATTATTTATATTATATTCACCAAACTAATAAGTACTTTGTCTCCATCTTCTTTCTGCCGTGCAACTACTCAACTACGTACTTCCCTGGTTACTTCGTCTCTTTCCAACAAGAGTTTTCACATGTTAGTTTTCCATCTCTTTTCTAAATATCTAAAATAATTTCTGTAGTGACATTTGGTTGAAAATTAGTTTTTCTAAATATCTATTCAATTTCTTCTGCTTAATCAAGATTCGTACCTTGTCTTCTCCATAACTTATTAATAACACTTTTTCTCAAACAATACGTTAGTTTTCCATCTCTTTTCTTGTATATTTTTTCTGGTTAGTTCATCTATGATCTTTGCAAACTATATGTTCTGGTGATATAATTTATCAAGTTAATATCATGGTTTAAAGTGTAGCATCAAGTTATTAGTTTGATACAATTAAAACCGACAAGAAATATAAAACATGAATTATGTGTGGCTTCTGTTGTAATAATCATCCATCTTCTTCACACTATAATGATTTCTAAAGTCGGATACTATATTAAGATTAAGAACTTGGATTAATGATTAATCATGGTATCAGTTTCTCTGGAAGTATGTCTTGTCTACATGGTAGAAAACCATGAAACTTAACCATTGCCTCCCAATTACTCTGACAAACATGTATTGGCTTAGACATATAAAAACCACATATTTCACGAGCAAGATCTTCTAATTCTGGATGAAAAAACCTTCCAGGCCACTGACTCTCAGCAACATCACGTATATCAGCCCTTCTATTACAAACCAAACCATACTCATTCTTTAGTTTAAGCATATCTTCAGTAACCTCAACTCCCACAAATATAAAGTTAGGATTAGCCAAGAATGTTTTAAGGTTTGTGGGATTTCGTCCCGATAAAACAACTGCACTATTAGACACTTGTTATCAATGCAAAGTTGGAGTGTGGTTGATTTGTTGCTTGTATATGGAATAAATAAATTTGCTTAAATATACTTTTTTAGGGCTTATATTTTTCTGTTTACTTAATTAATTTAGTGTAATGTGATGCAATATTTGACTATAATTCTCTTTTTTGTACAATCCTATTAGCATGTATCTGAATTCTCCTTCATAGTTCACAATGTGTTCTATGAAGAAGAGTTCTATTTTCGGTTTATATTTATTTACGTAGTTAATTGGTTGATGTATCTCACTTAATTTTATTATATATGGCTGATCGGAATAATCAAAATAATAGATAGATATTGGAACAAGTGAGCTCTTTAGCTACATATGCTTCTTGTTAGTAGCTATTTGGTTTTGGACTTATGTACGTGAAATTAAAAATGACCGACATACGATCACACATGATATACGACTGGAAAGTGAACGAGTTAGACTTGAATTATTGAGTCATTTATTCTCAACTGAACTTTGTCGTAATATTATAAGAATGACCCCTTTAGCTTTTACCGATCTATGTGAGATGTTAGTTAGAGAGGGTGACCTTAGACCAACACTTCAAGCTACAGTTGAAGAGCAAGTTGCAAAAACACTTTACCTGTTAGCACATAATACGACGAATCGCGAGTTAGCTTTTATCTTTCGACGATCTGGGGAGTCGGTTAGTCATCATTTTCATATTGTCCTGCGAGCGTTCTTGAAGTTATATGAAAAATTTATTAAAAAAACCTGATAGCTCTCAAGTTCCTTCTGAAATTGCCAGCAGCCCAAGATTCTACCCATATTTAAGGTGAACACAAATATAATTTTATTGAACTTTTAGCTAAATTCAAGGTTGATTGCACATAATTTATTATAATAATATCAGGATTGTATTGGTGCAATTGATGGAACACATATACGTGTTAAAGTTTCACAAAGTGAAGCACCCAGATATCGTGGAAGAAAAGATTATCCAACACAAAATGTATTGGTTGCATGCACATTTGATTTAAAATTCACATATGTGTTAGCCGGTTGGGAAGGGACGGCATCTGATTCAAGAATCATGAAAGAAGCGTTAAATAGACAAGACCCGCTAAAACTTTCAGAAGGTAAATATTTCATATATTTATCTTGAAAAAGTTAGATGTGATGAATAAATAATTAAAGCTTTTACTTTTTATCTTTAGGAAAATACTACCTTGTTGATGCTGGATTGATGTTGAGAAGTGGACTTATTACGCCTATCGTGGGGAGCGATATCGCTTGAAAGAGTATTCAAGAAATCCACCTCGAAATCCTCGTGAATTATTTAATCTGCGACACGCATCTCTGCGCAATGCTATTGAACGAGCTTTTCGAGTTCTTAAAAAGAGATTTCATATAATTTCTAGTTCAACTGAACCATCATATGGTGTTGAAACCCAAAAGCTTATTATTTTTTCATGTTGTATTTTGCACAACTACTTAAGAGGTGCAGATCCAAATGATGAGTTACTTGCACAAGTTGATGCGGAGCTTATGAATGATAATGATGTGCATGAAGAGCCACCAAATCCTAGGGAAAGTAATCGGGAGTTTAGAAGGGGGGAGTTGATTAGAGATGGCATAGCAGCTGACATGTGGACTAATTATCAAGTTTAATCTTCTAGGAGAGAAAAAGTCAACGAATTTTTTCGTGTTTATTTATTTGATGTTGTTTGAAAGTAATTTCGGCTATTATTTGAGTAAAAAATATTATGTACTATGCATTTATTTTATTTTATAACTCTTACAAATATTATGTCTGATAAAGTTTTCATTAAGTCTTATGAATATCTCTTAATTACGTGGTTATCAATATGCCGAAAAGGTCAAAGGCATCCTCAAGCGATACAGATCTTTTAGATAACACTTCTGTTTGTATTTGGTCAAATGCTATGGATGATGCCTTAATTGATGCATTCTATCATGAGCGCACACTTGGAAACAGGGTTGATGGAACTTTTACTGCACACGCGATTGACAATATAGTGAAAGAGATGCAATCAAAATTTCCAGATAAAGTTTTTACCAATGAGAGAGTTCCCAACCAAACGAGAAATATTAAAATAAAATTTAGCAAGTGTTATGACACCTTTCAAAATGGGATGAGCGGGTTTGCATGGGATTCCAACACAAACATGACGAATGCTGAATCTGAAGTATGGGATCAATTAATATAGGTACATTTATTTTTAGCAGTTTTATTCTTTATTTGCATGTTATAATGTTTATCTCATTTTCTGCATTATTATATTGTACTTTTTTTTTGTGTAGGCTAAGCCTGAAGCTGCTGAATGGAGAAACAAGCCGATTAGAGATTTTGATAAGCTAATTGAGCTATATGGAAGGGATAGAGCTACTGGAAAGTGAGCTGAGACTGGAGCAGATATGGTAAAAAGGGGTGCTCGTAATAATTTGAGAAAATCAAGTGATAGTTCATTGACTATTGATGAGGTAGATTAACTAATTTCCATGAATGCTGCCTCTTTGAAAAATATCGAGGAACATGGACAACACGAGCAATATCAATCAACTCAGGAAGCACGTAAATCGAATGCATATTTAGAGGTACAGACTTCTAGCAGGAATAAAAAATCTAAATAAGATCATCTTGAAGGCATTGATGATATGTTGAGAGGTGGGATGAATAATTTGGCTAATGCAATTAATCGCCTTTCAACTATGCCACATATTCCTGAGAGTGAGATATGGCAAATGGTACAAGTGTTGGATTTAGAGCCTAGTATGCACATGAAAGCTTATATATTTCTTTGAAAACATGCAGACTTGTGTCACACACTGATTGGGTGTCCATTGGAAGACCGCGAATTTCTTTTACTGACCTTGATGACGCCACCTGGCAATTGAGTTAGACTAATGTTATTTATGCTTTAGCTATTGAGGATTTTATAGACTTTGACTAGATCGATATGAATTTTATATGTCATGTTGCTAGAAAAATTTATTATATTATGCACTTTAAGTTATGGATTATTTGCCACATTAAAGGTCAAGAACTCAAGATCCGTTGTCTACTCTGTTTTGATGGGGCTGTGAATTTTTTGTTTGTTTGTATGAAATCAATTTGGGGCTTTCGCTATCATAGTAGAATGATGATTCCCTGTGAGGAAGATGCGGAGGTCAAATGAATAAATTATTTTTATGAGTAATTCTTAATAAGCATCGTATTTAAAATTATTAAGGGTATTTTAGTAAACTTAGCAGTATACTACAGTACAATACAGTCAAACCAAACAATAAAGATGTTATTTAATAACAACAAACGATACAATATATCCAAACACAGTGTAAAATATAAAGATGCATGTAAACGGTCACGTATTCATTGTTTTCAGTGCAAAGGGACTTTTCCTCCACTTCATTCCCAACAACTAAAAGCAGCTCCACCACTTCCGTTTCCGTTTTCCCGTTTTCCCTTACCCTATTTCGTGTCCTCCTTTTATCCATGGATTCAGGTCGCGGCGGCGGAGCCAATAATTACCGGTACCTTCGGAAACCACCGTCTTCCGATCGGCTCCTCGGCATTTTCGCCACCGCTCACTCATTATCCCAACCCTCTACCTCCAGCTCCACTTCCCCTTCCACATCCGCCGCTGGAGATGAGCTCAGCGAGCACGATATCTTCGACGCGCCATCCGACGTGTCCTATGACGCCATTCACCACTCTGTTCCTTCAACATCAACGAGCCCCAATCCTAATCACCATCGCTCCCCTAACCATCGCTCTCACCACAAACATTTCGGTATCCTAGCCGCGTTGCCGGAGTCTGAGTCCCACGCCCCGGCTGTGCTCTCCGTCTCTTCGTCCTCCTCGTCTTCCTCCACATCGTCTGCTCGTTTGATTCCTACAGTACCTAAACGGCCGCCATCGGTGGATCGGATTAAATATCTCCAGTCCGCACCGGTGAATGTGCCTGTAATTTCGGCAGCAGGGGGGCGAAGAGGACGCCATTTCGACGACATTGACGATGATGAGGACGATGACGTGGATAATGGCGAGATGTTACCGCCGCATGAACTTGTTGCATCGAGGCAGACGCCGATTTTGGCATCCTCTGTGCTTGAGGGAGCTGGGAGGAAGTTGAAAGGGAGGGATTTAAGGCAGGTCCGAAATGCCATTTGGCGGAAGACAGGTTTTCTTGACTGACTTTTTAATAAATTTGAGATAGTTGCTAGGTTTCTTCCTCAATTGTGTCCGAATATAAAATTTTGAATCTTGTAGGGCTGAATTGATAAGCTATGATTAGATTATTCTGCTTTAGTAATTTTCGTTGTCATCTTTTGACACCATCGTGGCGTGTTATCAATTAAAATGAGCTTGACTTATGGGAAAAAAAGCTTGATGCTTTTTTTCTAAGATATTAGCCCAAGTTTAGTGCATTTGTATTAAAGATGAAGGCGAATCGAGCAACTTATATGGATAAACTGGATAGAAAGAAGGGAAAAAAAGCACTCATAGCATTTGCAGCTGCTTCAAAACGATTACCTCTACTTCTATATTTAACAAAAAGCAAACTGCCAGCATTAAATGGAGAGTCTTGCCTGTTTGAGCTATTGAGAGCTGGAAAGCATGCTGGTTGTCTTAGTTGCGAAAAGGCCAATTGCCTAATATTTGCTCTTCAATAACATTACAAAAAGGTGTGTGTGTATTTCTCAATTTCTCCCATGGTGTACAGTTAAAGTGCTGGTTTCATGAATAATCTGAAAATTAGCCTTATTTCGTGTACACTTGTCTACCAAACTTACAGCTTCTTGTTTTGGAAGGTTTATCGATGTTATAAAGAGGGATGGGCAGTTTTGTTGCTGAGACACTGTTCCCATTCTGAAACCAACACGTAGAGAGGAGAGAGTGTATCTATATCTGCTTTGTTTCTTGATTTTGGACTCAACCCATTACTACTGTTTTTTTGTTGAAAAAGACTGAAAGTTTCTTTGATATATCAAGATCCGATCCTTAGGGGAAAAACATGATGACTGGTATTCTTCTTCCTTCCACTGTATAGACATCCTTTAGGTACTACAACTTCTGCTTTGCACTACTAGTAGCAGTCTGTCGCCCGAAATATAATCAGATCCGTGGAATCGATCTGCTTGCCTGTGAAGTTTCCATCTCAAACTTTTGTTCTTGCTCTGTGCTTCTCAAGCTAAGTACTGCTCTTGAGCGTAATGGTATGAGCCTGAGCGAACATGCCAATGAAATTACAATAAGTTAAGCTCTTGAGGCTAGAGAAACTAGAGAGCTCAAGAAACTTGCTACTTCTTCAGTCCTAACTATGTGACATACTTCATCTTTGGTGTCAAATTTAAACCTTCTTGTGAAAATGATTCAACCATTTTTGCATACAGAGAATATATGTAATTTGAAAACATGTTAAAAGCAATGTATTGAAAGGCGAGTTTAAGGTGCTTCTTGGGGCATCCTGGTGCAAGGTGCAGTGACGTTGCCTCAAGGTTCGCGTGAAAGGCGCACACTTTAGGATTGGTAGGACGCCTGGACTTCACGCCTAACAGCATGGTGTGCCCCCAAGAAGAGATGAAAACTACGTAATAGGCCTTCAATTTTCAAAATCTCTTTGTTTACCCTGTATCTAAATGCCTCTTAATGAATTTTTCGTTATCTGATATGCAAGAGATTTATAAAAATGATGATAGAAAGAAGTTGAACGACAGGGCCTCATTTTCCTGAGAGACTTGTCTATAGAAGTAGAGGGGTGACTATGCGAAGTTCGAACTGCTGGAATTTTAATGCTTAGATGCTGTATATTATGGCATTGGTTGTAGTTCAAATGGCGCATGCATTAGAACTTTTTTTGTGTGGCCAAATTTGGAAGGAGATTGTGTTTAGGGGCTTGCATGATTCCAAATAAATGGATTGTGTATTGCATAATTCTTAAAATGGACTAGGTAATATGCATAATTATTGAAAGCGGACGAACTTGATGATCCTTGACTGCTTCTAAAGAGTTCCATGGTCTTACTTTGACATCATTAAATCAAAATGTCCTTATCCTGTCTAATTATTGTTGATTGCCATTGCTTGTTTTTCTACTCTTATCTTCTGCGAAGTGATTATCAAATTTTAGGTCATTTTTCTTTGCCAATTTAACACAGGAACTTCAAAGATTTGCTTTAGGTGCATAAATGTAAAGAGATCTTCCTAAGCTGGGTCATAAAGGATTTCTCACTCGCATTTCCTTCATCAATGTGATTCAAATGCATTAAGTTCCCATTTTAAAACGTTTTAAAAGGTGTAAGAACTAGTTTGGCTTCTTTTGAGTGTTGGATATGAACTAGTCATATATGGAATTGAAAAAAAAAAAAAAAAAAATTGATCATGAAGTTAGTTTGTTTCATATTTTACACAGGTTTCCCTATTTTTTGCAATTTCTATGACCATTTCACATTATAAAAAAAATTAAATTAAATATTTGTGACTTGCTTGCTCCAAGTCTTATAAAATGCCTTGCCCTGCGCTCCTGCGTTTTGTAAAATGCATTGCCTCGCGCCCCTACCTTTACCATTGTTGAAGGTAAAGATGGAAGTGTAATTTGATCAAATATATCAAAAAGATCTATTTAAAGTTTAATCTGCCTGAGTTCCGATAAACACACTGTCAGATAATTTGATGGATTGTATTAATGGTGAAATTGAGTCTTTCGCATTCATATGAATAAAGAAGCTAAGTACAGGCTTCCAATTTGGTTTCCCTTACAACGGAAACAAGAACGACTTGTGTTTCAAGAACGAGAATGCTACTGTTGTACTTGCACAACCAACAAAAACGCGACTTGTATTTAATTAAGGTATATATATATCTGAAGTACAACATTATTATAGTGCATGGTAATGACAAGCCTATTTCAAAGTTTGAATTAACTGTGTTAATATTTTACACCCCTCTACACTGTTATATGATTGTTTTACAAAGAGTACTTACATCAATTGTTTGTGCTAAACAGATCAATTTAAATATTTATTAATTTGGTGCAAACATCGGGTACATGTAATTTCTTTGTATTTACGGATTCAGGCATCCTGATTCCTGTATCGTGTTCTATCAACCACTGGACAGTGTAGAAAGTAGCTCTGATGAGTCTCTCTCGTAGAAATCCCAACTAGAACTCTCTATTGTCTCCCTCTCCCCTCCCCAAAATATGTGTAACAACTACATTGGAAAGGAAAGATGGAGAGATCAGAAACTGGGGCTTTGTTTCTACAGTTAAGTGGTAACCCAATTCTTGGTTCTCCCATCACTACCAAAATCCATTAAAATATTTTCTTTTAACAGGTACTTTCAGATGGGAATGATTATTGTGTTCTTATTTTGAAGGGAATTAATGTTTCTGAAA